GATTTTAGGCTGAAGAATAAGAAAGCAGCTCTTCAGCCTAAAATCAACATCCCTACCACAACAACAACAAGGAGTCTGGTGGCACCTTAAAGACTAACAGATTTATTTGGGCATAAGCTTTCGTGAGTAAAAACCTCACTTCACTCACGAAAACTTATGCCCAAATAAATCTGTTAGTCTTTAAGGTGCCACCAGACTCCTTGTTGTTGTTGTGGTAGGGATGTTGATTTTAGGCTGAAGAGCTGCTTTCTTATTCTTCAGCCTAAAACATTTTAAGCTAAAAATAAGATATTAGCTCTCCAGCCTAAAATCAATGTTCCTACCACCTGGATGAAATCTGAGAACCATGGGTCAATCTCAGTCAGATAATCAAAGATATCTCTCATTATAAGCAGAGAGCTCTATTTTGCACATAACTTGAAATATTTGCAATTAGATAGAATTCTCTGAAGTTCTGGTGACCCAAACTCACCTTCGTTTCAGAAATCAAAGGTAATATCCACAAAGAAACTATATTGTGGAGGACAGTACACTGCTGTAAGATTTTCGAAAAAAATTCAATGATCCTTATATTATTGTCTTTTAAGCCTCCTTTCTACTTTATTTGGGCTTAATTACACTATATTAATACTGTATATTGCTACAGTAGGTGTATTGCAACTGGTAACACTAAACACTTATATACAGAGGCACCAATAGCTAGTATGGCCGGGGCACACATTGATCCAATCCTGAAGCTAGACGGTGGCAAACTCTGGTAGCAGTCTCCTCCTTAACATCAATGTAGCAATCTTTTCAGTTTGGACTACGCCTTAGCTTTTTCCCTGGAAAAATCAATTTCCTTGGGATGTATTTTGGTTGTGCCTATGTGCATTGAACTGATAGACACGGACAAAATGTCTATAAAATGAAGTGAATAGAAATCATTTAGGAGAACTTGCTCCTGTTGGTCACAGAAAGCAGAGCACAACAACACCCTACCTAAAGTCAGATAACAGTTTTTCTAGTCCTTCATGGATACAGAAAGATTTTTTAAAAACACTTTAGTATTACATTCAGAATTTTCATGCAAAGAAATCAGCTTTCTATAGTGTAATGTGTAATATGGTAAATAGTATTTTTGAGGGAAACAAACTTTTGAACAGCCTTACTTGTTGGCATTTAAAATCTCAGCTTTAACTTTTTGTTAGAGAAACTGTAGAGAGACACATTCTTTTCATTCACATTTCACACAGGAAGACAAACCAAGAAACGTGAAACTGCTCTGCATATAGTACATGGTAGATTTAGGACTCTGAAGGGGTGACAGCAACAAAGTATCAATAGTGGGATTCACAGGTGGAATATATTAAAAATAACTAGTGGGAACTAGTTTGAACTGAAGGGCAGTAGCCAAGTAATTTGTAGGGGAAGGAAAGGAGGTTGAATAAGAGAGTTAGTGTAATAAAGGTGTCCAGCATGTTACAGATATTAGCTATCACTGAAAAGTCTATCCTGAGGAAGAGAAAATATAACCAATTTAGGACACTGTGGAGAGAAGCAAGAGGTAATGGTAAACATAAGAAGTGTGATGTGAACTTAACAGACAATCATGTTTGTAAAGAGGTTTGAGCAGGAAGTGTACCAGTTATTCTTATAGGAAATATTTAAGGATATTACTAAGTTTGACAGGCAAGTCAAAAGCTTAGAACTCTACTTAAGAATATTGCAAGTGACATGAAAAGGGAGCTGAGGCAATAGGAATGTTGGTAAAGAATGACACTAATCCTGCTGAATCAGTCATTTAATGCAGTGGTTCTCAAACTTGGGCCACTGCTTGCTCAGGGAAAGCCGCTGGCGGGCCGGGCTGGTTTGTTTACCTGCCGTGTCCGCAGGTCCGGCCGATCGCGGCTCCCACTGCTCGCGGTTCGCTGCTCCAGGCCAATGGCTACAGGAAGCGGCGCAGGATGAGGGATGTGCTGGCCGCCCTTCCTGCAGCCCCCATTGGCCTGGAGTGGCAAACCGCGGCCAGTGGGAGCTGCGATCGGCCGAACCTGTGGACACAGCCAGGCAAACAAACCAGCCCGGCCCGCCAGGGGCTTTCCCTGAGCAAGCAGCGGCCCAAGTTTGAGAACCACTGATCTAACGTACCGCAGTTTTACACCACAATCTGTGCAGCAATTTAGGACAAAATATATGATTCTGAGTTGTTCACAAAACTTGTTATTACAAAACTTAGATAAGGACAATTATGTTAACAGTAAAAGAAATGGAGAAAGATAAGAACTTAGGAGGCAAGGAGGAGACACTGGTAGAGTTTAGAGTGACAGATCCCATTTTGGAAAACAGTTTTGCAAAACTATAGAGGGGATGAAGTGCACATTTGGCCAGAAGCTATTTTAGATTTAAACCTTAAAAGTGAATAAATATGCATGATACATAAGGTGGAAGTTGGGAGCATCTAAGATGCATATAATAGATTTTAAATGCTCAGTAAATATGAAGAACAAACACAAACACAGACTTGCATTAAAAGTTTTCAGAATAGATCTGTCTAGATTTTCCAGTGTATGAAAATTCTAATGCAAAATAGACAATCTTAGAGAAAAATGGACAAAATTAAATTGAGAAGGGAAAAAAAGACAAAAGATGCCAGATGTGCTACAGATTTTATGAAAAAAGAATAGTATCAGTTATCAGCAAGAGCCATAATAAAAATCTAGTTTTGTTGGGCCGTACAGAATTCCACTGATGCTTAGTAGTTACAAAAGCCTTAGGCCTTTATTTAGGAAGGTACTTAAGCATTTGCCTAACTTTAAGCATATGAGCAGTTCCACCGACTTCAGTGGAACTACCTTCATGGTTAAAATAAGGCATAGGCTTACTTAAATATGTTCTTGAATCAGGGCCTAAGGAAACATGAATTAGAAGGGTTTTTTTGTTTGTGTAGAAATTCTACTCCTCTCCATCCAAGTTATTTCTCTCCTTTTGGAATAAATTGTCCAGTACACACAGAGGATAGCCCATAATCCTAGTTGCAGGCCTTCATAAAGAAATAAACCACTGTAAGGTAGAAAAGATTCCAAGACATTGTTTTATGTTCCCCCTTAAATCCCACAAACATACCTGGCTATACTAAGTCGTCATGACTTATGGGGATAATTAGATTGTTGGAGAGAAAATATAAGAAATAGCTAAATATAGTAGTTTCACTAGCTGAAAAGAATACCATTAAGCTGCAATGCAGTAGGTTGGGGTTTGCAACCATCTTGTTTAGTATTTATGCAATCTATTTGGTTGACAGCATTCACAGGCAAGATACAGACCAATGTTTGCTAATGATAGCAAACCTAAATACATGGCAAATAACTATGAACACTGCAAACAGATTCAGAAAGTACTGGATAGTCAAGGTAACTGAGCAGTAACATATGTACAAGAAACATAAGTAATACATTAAAATGGAAAATAAATATTAAATTAACCAGTTATCGCATGTATGGTAACCAAAACCAGAATGTGGGTTTTATATTGAGAGATCTATAAAGCTACCTACTCAAAATGGGCTGCATTAAAAAAAAGGCAAAGAGGATGCTAGGATGCATCAACAGAAATAGAATACAAATCAAAACAAACATACTTTTGTACAAGATGCATTGATTAGATCCCTCTAAAATTATTCATTTGGTTATTGTTACCCTTTCACTGAGTTTATGGAGTGGCATACAGAGAGTTTCATGCCCCAAAGAGTGAGAGACAGGACAACCTGTTTAAGTTTACATCACTGCAGAACAGAATGTAAAATGATCTAAAATTTTAACCAAATTATGAAGAGTTTTGAGAAAGTGAAATGAGAAACTATTCATACTAGGGAAGGTATTAAAAAAACGACAAGGCATCAGACAACTAAAAATTAGGAAATTAAGAAGAGATGTTGGATTAAGGCTGAACTGTGTTGTGTAATAAAAGTACACAGAACAATTTTGCTAAGCAGGGCCACAAGAGTTAAAATAAAAATGTAAAGGTTTACTCAGCTAAGTGACTATATCTGTCCACAGTTCTTCATGCGTAATCTAAATAATTACAAGAGTCATGAATAATGTAGTGTATTCATGTTTTTGTTCCAGTTTAAAAATTCCATTCATTCCCATCCAAACTCAGTTTCTCTGTCTTTGGTGTACTCTTCACCAAAACACACACAATACAGTTCAGAACCCTAGTTATACAATGCTACTATGGAAAAGTACATCATTATATGCTTTAAACAATAAGTTGTAAGATTCTGATCAGTTTCATGGTCCCATGATATGTTTAGCAGCCTGTAAATAAGTGTTTTAAATAATTATTATTCTAAAACAGAATCATCATTTGCTGTGACCTCGCCAGATCATTTAAAATGTTAACTAGTTTACTTTGGTAGATAATGCCAGCTAATAGTACTGCAGATTACAGGAAGTCAAGGTATACTTAAGTTCAATTCACAATGAATAAAACCTACACGTAGTTAAGTCTGGAAATTAACATAGACCTTAGCATGTAAATAGTAACTATGATATGCAGATTTAAGCCTTTTCTTGCATTGCAAAAGGATATAAAATCCTTTACAAAACAAGGTACAACTATGAAACATGATTAAAATAAAATAGTAATGTAAAATATTTTAACAGGGTGTTAAATATATTCACATGATCACCATAGCTATTTCAAATGGCCACTATTGCAATCACACACTATTATGTACATAACATTTATGCCACAAAAGTTTGCAAGTTGAGTTTTCACAGATTAGCCAATTTTACCAGACATAAATAATCTTGTACCAATTTTAGGCCTTTTAAAAGGAATTAAGTGTCCTAAATATTTTTGTTCCGCTGCAAAATTAAAAAAAATCCTAAAAAGTCAGTGCAAATTGAATCATTGAACCTGTTCACCAGGGTAGATTCCTATTAAACTGAGGATAAACAATGTTTAAGAGATTAAAGGAAGAAGCTTATAACATTGTCAACTGCATTTAGCAGAGGTTAGAGAAGATTAGGAATCAGAAGTCCTGGGTCCTATAGTAGTGCCTTCTGGGAGTAAGTATGTGGTTGTGGCGGCGGCGGCTGTTGACTGCCTGCTGGTGGAGGCAGAGATGAAGATGCTAAGTTATAGTTTGGCACCTGGGACACATTAGTTCCAGCATTCTGGTAAGCAGCAACATCAACAGCAGCAGGAGGTGGACTGTACATTGAAGCCTGGTTGGAATATGTGCTTCCAGGAACAGAGCTGACCATTGCACTGAGAGAAAGGGAAATGAAAAGTTGTATAAGAAAGAAGGTAGGAAACAAGTCAATAGGACAGCAAAATTAATGCAAGTTTTTTTAGATGTATTATGCGTGCACGAAAAGCACCTCTCCTGGGCTCAATTTCAAAGAAAATCTTGACGATGTCCCCCCTCCCTTCCAAGCTTCCTATTCATAAATTTAACTCTGGATTATAAATCTATGCTTTTATTTTCTATTGTATATAACACACGACTCAAGTCCTATTTCTATTCTGTTAACAAAAAGTTACATATTATAACTTGTAATACACATTATGCAAAGAATGCACAAGCTTTACTAAGACGTATATTTGTCACACCACATCTTCTAATAAGAAGTAATTTAAGTACGGAAAAATGAATACTTTAAAATAATTCATGGCAGACATCTTTCCCAACCTACTTTAAAACGTTAGATACTGCAGAAAACCAAAAATTCATCCTTTTCTTGAGGTTAATTTAAGTCCAGCTCAAACTTTTGACCCTGTATAGGCTGCTCCCTAGATACTTCCTCTACAGAGACCCACTCCCACTCCCCTTGTATCTGGGTAAATGTACAAGCCTCGCTGAGTCTGCAAAATCTACTTAACCCTTTTCCAATATGATCAGTACCTGCCAACATGGTGAGGTGTCTGAAGCAAAGAAAGGGCAATCATCCCTAATGGCACTCACCATACTTCGTGTTTTAGAACGTACTAGAAACCAGTCAGAGCAGCAGTACATGTGTATGAAGCTGCCTTGCGTGTTGTATATATTCAGTGAACATGGTTATTTGGAACCCAGCCATGCCCATGGTTTCTTCACATTGTTCTTGTGTACAACATTGTTTTGTGTACAAAGTTCATACAATTGCTAAAAATACTTTTGTTATCTAAACATCAGTCAATTATGACTAAAGTAAAGGTTGTCCAAAAACAAATTTCCCCTTAAAAGTCAGTCCTAGTTATTCAGAAAGAAATTTAAGTTTATTTAGAATAGGTAAATATTAAAATTACTTAGCATAAGATGTCTGAGCTTGCTGACTAGGCAGTCCTGAACTTGCCGATTGAGGAACCGTGCCTTGGTTGAGAGAAGGAAGTTGCTCTTGGGGAAGATTATAGCCTTGAATATGGCCCATTTGCGCACTCCCTGCCACCAAATATGTACTACTTTGAGGCTGCCCTGGGTAAACCTTAAAAAAATAAACAAAAGATGGTCATAGATAAAATAGAGGAACATATTATTGCTACTTAGTTAATTGCTAAATTCAGAATCTAAAGAAAAGTCTCTCAAGCCTTTGTCCACAAAAAGCTGTGTATTTAAAAGCAACTTGACTAATTTGTACTGTGCCATAATGTTCTAATAAACAGTGGAGAGTATTATGATTGTACCATAAATCTGCTCTTTCTCAAAAGGAAAAAGACTCCAGTACTCCAGGAATTTATTTGAGACACTACATACCAAATAGGAGTCAGTCATTAAATTTAAAAATATATATATGTTTAATTGTGGTAATTCAAAATATTACTGTAGTTTTTTCCTTCTGAATAAAAGTTAAAAATTTCAACTGTTTATCAGAGAACTGTCAGTGTATGGCAACTGTGGTCTAGCAATATGGTGCTGGCTTTCCTTTGTATGCAGCTGCTAAATGAAAATTCAAAGGTAATATTTTCTTATTTTTAGCTAACATTTTCATGTAAGTAATTGCTGAGGCTGTCATTGGGATGTTATTTGAATGGGAGGGGAGGTGGTCTGAAATAAGGCATAACTTTACTGAGTAGAATTAGCCAACAGACCAGTTTATCAAATATTAGGTTCTCCATCTCTTGATGTCCTTATATCAAGACTAGATGAGTTTCTAAAAAAACATGTTTTAGTTCAAACAAATTATTGGGCCTACTGCAGGGATAACTAGGTGAAACTCTATAGTCTGTGTTATATACAAGATCAGGGTAGTTGACTGTAATGGTCTTAAGATCTATGAATCTGAGGCACTCACTCTATTGACACAGACCACACAATGAAAGAGTATAAGAAGTCCTCATTCCGGGAATGAAGGAAGGCGTTTTCCTAGCTTCTTTAGGCCTTTATAGTGACTCCTCTCCATCCCAAAAGTCTTGTATTTCTTCTGAGGTTAGATATATGCCTCTTTGTAAGGCAGCTAAATCATTTGCTATGGGTGTCTGCTGAACCGGATTACGTGTAGGTGCAGAGACTCAGGATTTCTAATGATTTGTTCCGATGTCATTATGCAAAGAAAAGGCAGTTGTCAGAAGACATCACAGATAAATGGATGGGTTTAATTATGGAAGAACCAATTCTGCCAGTAATGTTTACCCAAAACCACAGTGGTGGGAAATACAGAAGTTCATTAGCTGGCTCAGATTTTTGGACTTCATTAAAAAAATGAACCAACCCTTCTCTCTGATGTTTAGGAAAGTCCTTAGAAGTGACCAAATAAATAAAAGGCAATTAAGACATTGCACAGCTTGAAATACTTGACACCTCTGATATTTTCATAAACTAGAAAATAAAATGGTAAATGTGTATTAGAAGAATTACAATGGCTAACATAAAAAGAAGAACAGGAGTACTTGTGGCACCTTAGAGACTAACAAATTTATTAGAGCATAAGCTTTCGTGGACTACAGCCCAAATGGCTAACATGTTTATAAGGACTTTAGAAATCTCCATTGTATGTGAACTGAATGGAAATATGAACTAAAAGAGCTACAAGACTGTTAAGTTAGGAGAATGAATAGAGCCTTCTACATTTGAGAACCAAAAAACTGAATGATGAACTTGGTGTTGACATATAAGGTGGCATGTAGTGTACATGTAGCTACAGGCCACAGCAAAAAGCAGGCTGTGTCCACACTGCAGTGTGTAGTTTCATGTGTGGGTGAAAAGCTCTGGTGGGGGGGAGATAGCGGGGAAAAGCTTCACCAGCTCCCTGCTACTGGAGCCTTTCACTGCGATGAGGAAAGGCTTCAGCAGTTGGGAGCTGACAGAGTCTTTTCGTGCTGCCAGAATCTTTCCCTTGAGGCGAGGAAGGGCTCCAGCATCAGGGTGCTGGCAGAGCATTCCCGTCTGCTTCCCCACTGCCTCCCCTCACCTGAGACTTCCCTTGCTGCCAGTGACTTTTCCTACTCCAGGAGCAGAACACTATAAGCCACTATTTTTAGTGGTGTAGAGAAGGAAGCACAACTTGGGCATGTCGAGAGCACATGGGGTATGTACTTGCATACATACAGATGCCCTTCAGGTGTATCTTTACTCTACTCACCTAAGCCGTACCTCACCATCTACACTGCTATTTATAGCCATGCTGGGTGGCTACGGCCTCTACATGGTACTGCCAAGAAGCATGCAGATGTACCTTAAGTGTACTGCTACCCATGTAATTCTGTAATTTAAGAGCAACTCCTACACAGGGTTTTGGGCAAGAAAGATAATAGAAGAGGTTGTTTGTGATGGAAAGAACATATGGTTGAACTTAAACTTTACTGTGGCTGGTTATTTTTTGGCTTGGTGTGAAGGAACCATTTTTTTCATTTTATTTTCACACTGGCACCAGGGGCACAGGATAAGCACTTTTTTTGTAAATTTTATAAATTGAAATAAACAAAACAGAGCTAAATTAAGTCAGAATCTGTCCTAGAAAATCTTTTCAAAGCCTGCAACTGAACATGAACAAGTTTAAAGGTTCTCTTTATTTTTGTGTTGTTTCTTACATAAACAGTGTTTTGTTTAAATACAACTATAATTTGTATTTGACTGCTAATGCTGGGAACGTAGTACAGTTTAGTTCTGGAGACGACAAAACATCCTCACCTCAGGAAAAAAGATGAGATTAAGTTAACTGGTCTAAAGGTAATTAGGGAAATAAGGGAGAGGTTGCAGATTCTGTCCATAGAGGGTACCAAAGAAAATAGGTAAGGGTCATTTGCTTGCACAGAATATACACTCAGACAATAAGGCTTCCAAGTTTCTGTGATCTGCTGCTTTAAAAAGTTACTGTATATTCATTTTACTGCTGTAAGACCATTTTTTCTCATAGTGACTAACTTTGTACAATTAGTCGTAGTGCATCACTGATAACTTACAAGGCAACTTAGCCATAATCAGCTCAATAAATATTCAATATCTTCCAGGTCTTTAAAATCAAATATATACCTGAGAGCCAGAAACACCAGAAGACTGCATATAATAATGTTGGTTTGGTAGTTTTGCATACATGGAATACATTGGATCTTCGTTCATCAACTTGTTATATAATGAAAGAGCCTCCATGACCTTAACATTGAGCTCTGAAAGTTCTGAATGTTTCCTGGAATAATTAATAATATTTTAATGTAAATTGAAGTTCCCTTTTATAGAAATATCTTCATATATCATCTATCATATGGCTTACTGTACATTTTAGCTATTTATACTGAACTGGGTAATACAGTGGATCTGTACATGATGAGGTACCATAGCAAACTACTCTTACTGCATGGGAAGTGATGCCTAGACACACTGATCAAGTGTTATAACTCTGACTAGTAGTCAGAAATATTAATTCTTCATCAAGTAGACAAGCAAGACATTTTAAATTAGTTACTCCTGAGTATAGGCAGGAGATACAATATTTCAGCATTCTAAAGTTAGCAAAAGAAATCATTCACACTAAAAGTACTAGTACTCCTTTGAGATAAAATCCCCTCAGCCATCTTCCCATGAGGGACACCACTATTATTTATATTACCATACTGCCCAGGACTCCCATCATGGAGCAGGACTTTATTAACTACATGTACTTTCTCTGGCATATATTATACTGAAATTATTGATAGCAAGCCATAATGTAAACGACTGGTACTTGTGCTATTATTTCAAAAGAGTCTGAGCCTTAATAATCAGTATCAGCATATATATGTACTTTCTTACCTGTCAATATCTTCCAGCTTTTCATCAATGAGAGGTCCCATTTGGTGGCATATTGCTAGGAGAGAATTAAATATATATAATCAGAATCATGAAGATTTCAGTTGTTTGTACTGAAAATCAGAAAGTAAACATTGTTGCAAGTGCTTTAAAAAAAAAATAGCTACACCGCTACCTCGATATAACGCGACCCGATATAACACGAATTCGGATATAACGCGGTAAAGCAGTGCTCCGGAGGGGTGGGGCTGCGCACTCCGGTGGATCAAAGCAAGTTCAATATCACACGGTTTCACCTATAACGCGGTAAGATTTTTTGGCTCCCGAGGACAGCGTTATATTGAGGTAGAGGTGTACTTAAAATATTTAGACGTCAAAAGAAATTTCTAAGATCACAAATACAATTTAACTTGTGATTCATAAAAGCTAGAGTAAAAGTTGGTTATGTACCATTTTTATTAAAGGTTGAGGCCTAGCTTCTCCAAGTTAGATTTTGCAAACTGGGAAGCAACAAAACCCAGCATAAATCCCCCTCTCCCCCTTACATTTTTGAGGAAGTGGAATAACTCAAGAAGCTTTTGCAGTTCTCACTGTTTCTTCACAGTACTGCAACCCTGGAATTTGTATCAAGAAGGCAATTCTGATGATGGTCAAGATATATTAATAGACTGTTGCAAAAAATAATAATAATGCCACCTAGCTCTTATCATTTTTCACTAGATCTCAAAAGCACTTTACACAGGAGGCAAATACTATCACCATTTTATAGATGAAGAAAATTGGGAGCAGAGGTGAAGTCACTTGCCCAAGGTAACCCAGCAGACCAGTGACAGAAAAAAAATTAGTCATTAGCCTCTAGCCTCTGACTTTCTATAAATATATCAAGTTATTTTTGCAAGTTTAAAAAAGAATGGTTACCTACAGTAACTGTGCTTCTTCAAGGTGTGTTGTACGCATGGATTCCACTCTTGGTGCAAATGAGTCCTATATGCACAAGATTGGGATCTTGGCTAGCAGCATCGACTGGGGCCAGGCCTGCATCCTGTATGGCTCAAGTCCTATTCCTCCCCCACAACCGAGGGCATAAAGCAGAGCAGGCCCAGCCGCTGAGTTTCTCCACCCATACAGAATCCCAGAGGAGTACAAATCCATAAGTAGTGGGGAAGGAGGGTGCATCATGGAATTTAAGTGGACAACATGTCTCAAAGAACCACAGTCACTGTCAGGAAAGTAATCGTTCTTTCTTCAAGTGATTGTCCATTCTTGGTGACTAACAAGCGGGTATCTGTTTGCTTGGAGGTAGGTAATAGGAGTCCTACTTCAACCGTGACTGCAGGACAGCCCAAACAAAGTGGGCATCTGATCTGGAAACCTCTATTAAAGAACAATGTCTTGTAAAAGTGTGGTCTATGCTCCATGTTGCTGGGCTACAGATTTCAGAAACAGGGACATTCTTCAAAAAGGCAGCAGAGGCTGCTTAGCTAGGTGGACCTAACCTTGCTAATTCATGATGTGCCCTTATACAGCTGGGGACCCCACATAGATAATCCCAGAGGATACGGTCTGACTCAGTGGTGGGCAACCTGCGGCCCATCAGGGTAATCTGCTCGCGGGCCGCAAGACAGCTTGTTTACATTGACCATCCACAGGCACGGCTGCCCGCAGCTCCCAGTGGCCGCGGTTCGCCGTTCCCGGCCAATGGGAGCTGCGGGAAGCATTGCGAGCCACAGGGACGTGCTGGCTGCCACCTCCCACAGGTTGCCCACCACTGGTCTGACTCATAAGCCTCTCTACAAAGGCCACAAACAGTCTAGGTGCATTCCTGAATAATTTTTTCCTGTCACTATAAAAAGACAATGACCTTACTATACCAAGTGCCTGAAGTATAGTTTCCCCTAACATTGAATGAGGCTTGGGGAAGAAAACTGGGAGACAAGTATGTGGGTTCACATAGAATTCTGAAATATTCTTGGGCAGGAACTTCTTATGAAATACTGTAAGGGATACCTACCACGAGGGCCAGAATTTCACCTACCCTTTAACCTGATGTAATGGCCACTAAAAGACTGTCTTCATAGATAAGTGAAACAGACACATCTTACTAAGAGTTCAAAGTTTGTGTGTGTGTGGTCGGGGGGGGGGGGCGAGAGACATCCATCAACTATATTGAAGTCCCTAGAGTGAGGGATCTCCCAAACGGGGAGAAAAAACATGAATGGGGTCCTTAAAGAACCTTACTAGTGGAGGTAAAACACAGTGTAACCCTTCGATGGAAGGGTGATGTGCAGACATTTCTGCTAGATGAACCTGTATAGTTTCAGGGCCAATAAGCATTCCAATATTGCTGAAATGGGTGCTATCAAGGGAGACAGCTGGTGCTGAGGAAACCTCTTCTACTGAGCTTTATAAATTGGTTGGATTGATGCTTTCCTGCTTTGGAGCACAATGTCCTGAATTTCAGCTGAACAGCTTCCTTCAATGAATGTCACCTAGCCAGCATCCAGGCTCGGATGGATGCTGTTGCATGCCACAAGTTTTTTGGCATGGGGACCCTGCCGTGTGTGGAAGGGTGTAAGATATACAAAAGTGTGTGGTTTTGCCTGACCTACATATCTATCTATCTAGAAAAAATCCTGGGTCTCTGTTATGTGCCTAATGAGGTTCTGGAACACTGTGAAGTCATCCACTGAGGCAGATGTAGAGGGGTTTATTGCCTTACCTGGGGAGGAAAGTCACATAGGGGAGTAGGTGTTCTTCTCCTTGGTATTTGATGCTCTTCCTCATTTTCCTCCTGCTGCCTTTCTAGGACCTAAGGCTGCACTACTTGGGAACACTGAGGGATGGAGGAGGGGGTCTACCAATAGGGCTGTAAGCCTATGGGTCCCAGGCCTCTTCCTGCTACCTCATGAAATCTTCTCTAGAATCCCTTTCTGACTCCAATTGTGCTACCCAAGAAGGGGAAAGTGAATGGGTGCAAGATGAGAAAGAAAAGGAGGAAGTGTATCGCAAAAGCCATTCTATTGGGAGTAGCCTGCATTTGGAGAGGAGATGGTGGTACTGGGGATACCAGCTTAACTTGATGTACCAATATCTCAGAAGCTGATTGAATGGATATCACCACCCTGAATCCTGCAAAGAAGAGGTGACTCCAGTACCGGGCCCACAGTTAAGTCACTCAGTGCAGTGTTTGCTTTGGGTGTTGGGGCACCCAGGAATGCAGGTGCCAACAGAGATGCAATCTGAGAATTTAGGGGAGTGGTCTTGGCAATCAGTAGCAGGGAACCTCAGGTGGCCTGGCCTTTGCAGGCTTCTGGCCCTTAGGAGGCTGAGTCTAAAGTGCACCACAGTGGAATTCATGTGGACAATCATTCAAAAAAGAACAAAGTTTCCTTACCTTCAAGATGAAGCAGCTCTGGGAGGTCTGGCTGATCATCAGTTGGATCTGCACTTTGTAACATCTGTAACAGTTGGTCCATTTTATCCTATAAGGAAAATAAGAGAATTAGTATGGGAAAAAATAGCTGGGTTTTACATTGGATTCTCTAAGATTACTGTAATGCAATATTCCTTTATGTCCCGTCCCATCCCCCTGCCCCCGCCACACACACAATGATCTTTCTGATCCAAGATAGGGACTCTACCAGCATTAACAACATACTTAGTTTCAGCAGATATGAACAACAGTATGAGCCTTTATGTAAGATTTTCATTGCTAATAATGGTAATTATCACAGGGCCAAACACATCCCCTCCAAAAAAATAAAAAAATCCTAAGACCACAAAAGGAGCAAGAATGCTCCATTTACTCTCCTGAAAAAGTGTTATTTTAAGAAGTTTCCATTGAGTTTCTTATTTCCCAGGAGACAGTCATCCATCTGAAAGTTTCAACTGCACACAAAGCAGATGTAACTTTAAAGAAAGTCAGTAGAGAATGAAAAAGGATAAGCAATGAATATGACAAAAATGGTTTAATAACGTGAAATGCAGAATGTCCCTCATATATAAAAGTCATTCCTCAGAATTTTATTTTATAAGCAGCTTCTACTTTTCATTCTACTTCAATTACATAAGCAATGCTACCACCTAGTGGGATATGCAAGTATCTACAAAGTGCACATAGTAAGTACGCTAAAAGAAATAGCTCCAACTATATATGTATTAAAAAATAAGCCATATTTTGAAAGTATAACTAGCGGTCGATAAGCACCTAAATAAAGGAAGGGAAGGAGAAAACTAAGAGCAAAGCAGGTGCTGAGCTGCTTGGCCTTTATAGTCTCGTCTTGATGGGCAAAAAGGTGTACTTTTCAATCGTGTTAGCTCGGTACAGTTGAAAAGCCACACTAAGATGTAGTTTAACATGCTGGACGTCATGTTAACTGTGTTAAGCTAACTCAATTTAAACACACACCCCTTTTGCCCATCAAGGCATGTTTTAAGAGGAAAGCAGCATATAGTGAGAAAGCAGAAGGCTGGAACCACACAGTCTTCCCAAGAGCAGGAGGGAAAGGGAACAAGCAAGCAGCACAGCACAAATGAAATAGCAGTGGGGGCTCCCAGAAAAGAGAACACTACGAAGGGGCAGCAGAAGTAGGGGTCTCACAGAATTAGGGAGAGATGCAATTGATATTAGGAGAGTTGTAGGGCCTCAGTAACTTAAATTTGGGGAAGGGGCAGGTCATGGGCAGAAGGGAGGGATTTTGGAGAGCGAGGGTATTCCTGAAGAACAGAGAGAAGGAAGGAAAGATCTGGGGCCAGTGTGTGATCTTGGGAACAATGAGGAGATGCTGAAGGAAAGATGGCCTGAATCCTTGAGACTATTTATGATGAGGCAAGGCTGAGATTCCTGGGTAATGAAAGAAAAAGTTCCTTCAGAGACTGGGCAAAAGGCAGTGTTTACACAGGAGACATGTTGGAGAAGAGGGCCAAGATACAGTGTTTCTAAGAGATGGGACAATAAAAGTAGAATTGGGAAAAGGAAGCCCAATTTGAAAGTGAATCTGCAGTCTGAACCTACAGTTTGGTGCTAGGAACCCAACTAGGAAGCTGCTCCTAATTCAATTTAATAAGAACATATGAGAGAAGACGTGTTTAAAAAAAAAAATTGCAAGTCTGAAGTGCCTCTCCCCTTCTAGATTGTGGTCCCCTTGATATTTTGGAATATTTTTGGCCCTTGGACTGAGGAGATAGGACACCACTGGTTTAGATGCATTAAATGCTGAAAGCAGTATTTTTATTGTACGTACTTCATCAATATAAACTGGTTCAGGCTCAGGTTCTATTGTCTCTACTTGAACTTCATCACTGAACTGTACTGTTTTCTTCTCCGTTTTCACTGTAAAACACATGGACTTTTTAAAAAAAAGTAAATCTCAACTGCAAAATAAAATGTTACGCTGAAAACATTTTGTCTGCCATTTAAATTATTTGGTGGTTGAAACACATTGTAAACTTGAAACTGAAAAAAGAAACAAAGTTTAAGCAATTGAAATATTTGTTTCCTGAAAAACAAAACTGAACCTCCTGACATATTTATATTTGTAATCTTATTACTAAGCACTTAAAGACAAGGGTCAATCACTTTTGAAGATAGGACTTAGGTGCTTCTGAAAATTTTATCCAAGGCCTTTTTTAGGAGCTAGAATGTCCTCCAAGAGAAAGTAACTAAACAGATACCCTGATGTTAAAGTGCAGAGGAAAATTCTTGCTTTATCAATAATTACTTAGAAGTAAGCCCTATTTTATAATTTTATATATAGATTGATCTACAGATATATAAAATAAGATGGTAGCACCACCTATTAGGGTTGTTGATGTGTGTGTGAGCGTGAACATGTGCACGCACATGCATACTTTAAAAAAACATTTCTTGGTTGTATCCACTCCCAACTTAACATAAATTTGTCAAAAGGTAACCAAAGTACCCAACCTAACAAACCCACCAATAAGTCTAATGAAAAATTAAATCAGATTTAAATTTATAATTTGTCACCCTGAAAGCCTTATTGAATATTTAACATTTATTCTTTTTACTTAAGTGCTCAAAGAGGGTAAGACTGAACATTTTCTGTTAAAAGAAACTAACACAGCAAACTGTTCCTTTCATTCAGTACATGTCCACCAATCCTATACTTTTCTGAAGGAGTCAGAGCAGAATAGGGCAAAAAAATGAAAAAAGCACCTTCACAAATAAGAATGTTACAGCTGATTCGTTTTTAACTTTAACTTCAGCCACAGCATTGAATTGTTTCCAATTGCAAGCTGCACCTTAGGATTCTTGGAGGTAAAATGTTTGAAATTATGAAAGGTGGAAGCAATGGCCAATTCGCAGATTTCTTCTGCTGGAGCTCTCGCCTTTTCTACTTTCATCCCAGTCACTGCCCTGGTAAGCTTTATTTTTATTTTTTTTGTAGGATCAAGGATCATTTACAGAATAGTTCTCTAAGACAGGTAGATACCACTACTGTTTGTAAGGATGCAGCGGAGGATCCTTGGTTCCGCTTAACCTTATAAATGAGCTACAAAGTAGAATAACGTGGGTATACTTTAATGAAAATGTCCGAAGGGAAATAGACTTTCTGGGAGAACCGTTCTTCTTCACGTAGTCCGTTGGTCCGACGATGATGTTTTCATGCTCTCTCTTTTTGTGGATTCTAGAGTGACTCTGAAGTCCAAAGCGTGATGCACATGCTCATAAGCAGATCGGGTAGACAAAGTCCTTTGAATGGGAGATCCCTTTTACAAGAATAAACCCCAAGCCCAGGTATAGCTGTACCCGTCTCTGCAGAGTATCTGGGAAGGAAGGGTTGCCCACATTATTGGTTGTAGCATCCTATCTTCTTCTATCTGTAGGGTCCCCTGGTGCTAGTATCTGCATCTTATAGCTTAGCAGTCCCTCTTTGACAGCTGGGCATTCCACGCTAACTGCTAGAATTGCCTACTCGTGTCTCAGAACAGAACACTCTGGTGGCAGGGTCCTCAGTGGACAAGAACTTACAAGTCCCTTAGTGAAGTGACAGATTATGAATAGTTATATCTACACTGACCTAGATGTAGACAAGAACATTAGGATTGGAGGCTGTATGTTGAACTTTATTGAGATTATTATTTCGCTTGGAATAGATTCAGAACGGTTTATTTCTCATTTTTAATGGTGCTTATACCACTGTATGTGCAGACCAAAAATATCAAAACAAATATTGGGTGCATTGTGTTGTATAAATATTCTTCAGCATAAACAGTGTTACTCACTCATTTCTGGTTCAGCAGTAAGGTCAGCTGTTACAAAATTAGAGGGAAATAATCCTATTCCTTGGTGAGTTTCACCTTTCCACCAGTTTGAATCACTGAAGATTAAAAAATAGTTTTTATATAAAATGCTCTACATTACAGCATAATTCAAGTAAAAATGTGAGACATTTACATAAAAACATTTAACATGCAAACAAGTTAATTTAAACATGGGGTTCTAATGTATGTGTCCAAATATTGAGTATGAGCAGCCTGATATTTCCAAAAGCTTTTTATGGACTTCGCATGCCTCTCTTTTTTCACAGTATCCTCTTCGAAACTTTAAGATAAGAACTTAACAAGAATCCAAAAAGGACTGAATATTTATATAGATACATCCATAATTATAGTAAGGATTAAAGAGTCAGAAAAGTTTAAGAATATGAAGGTTTCTCTCCCTCTGAAAGATGGAAGTCAACCCCCAACTGACATGGATTAGTAAGAAACTTTTCCTATGGGCAGGTCATTCCTTAACTGCTCGATGCAGGATTTCTTGCACCTTCCTCTGAATCAGCTGGTAATAGACAATGCCAGAGACAGGATATTAGACTGAAAGGGCCACTGATCTAGCCTGGTATGACAATTCTAACATTTATGTTTCTGTACTGATTTTAAGCTTCTGCATTAAGGGCTTGGATCCTGCAAAGTGCTAGACAATACCAATGGGAGCGGAAGGCAATTGGCACCTTGCAGGATCAAACCCTAAATAGATGGGCAGAAAGCCAGGTATTTTGCTGAATACTGCAGAAGCCAAAAAGGTTGTCTTTGGTCCACATTGTATATTCATATTAGTTAATTAGCTAAATCTTTGTGCATTCCACTATTTCTTCTTTCTGGAAAGGCTACGTTTATATATGCATCCGACGAAGTGGGCATTCACCCATGAAAGCTTATCTGTTAGTCTTAAAGGTGCCACAGGACTCTCTGTTGCTTTTTACAGATCCAGACTAACACGGCTACCCCTCTGATACGTTTATATAGTTGATCAACAACATTTTAAAGAAAACAGAACTTTCCAGCCTTCATATAAACAGCCAAATTGTAAAATAAATACAGGGAATTTTCAGTTGGTATTACTGGGTAGGCCTGGCTTGACATAAGTAACTTGCCTCATTTCTTAATGGGTATAATAGGGAAGGTGAATGGAAGATTAAGTTGTAAATAGGGGCTTGACAAACAGTATGCTGAAATCAGGATGTCTGTGATAGCTAGGATAAGCAGCAACACCCTGATGTTAGACAAGATAAACTATAGACAAAATAAACCTGGAATGTAAAGATCAGGTTCCATGTGAACAGCATATGGATAGAGTATGCTGTACAGGGGATGGTTCCCGCAAAGTAACAAAGCCAATCCAAAAACGTGTGATTTAATGTATGGCAAATACAATGTAATGTATAAATGTATGTAGAAGAAGAAGTTGTCTGTGTAACTTTGGATGTATGGTATGCCCTATACCCAGCCCTACACTTGAGTCTGATCAACTCGACATAGCTTTGCTGTATGACAAATAAAGGAACCTGAATGACGAAATCCAAAGTCAAACTGAGGGTTCTGGATCCCAGAGAACTGGATGAAGTGTTCTCCCAGAACTGGACAAGGTGTTCTGGATAAGCCGAGTGGAAAAGTCTCAGAGGGAATCCCAACATCCTGTTTAGGTTTTTTTTACTCTCCATATTGCATCCTCACAATGACAGACTTCCTGCATTGCTGAGAGATTCCAGCACAGTCACTTGAGAAAGAAATTTATGTCTGTTTTTATTTAATACTGAGCTGTTAGTTAAGTTTTACTACTTACATAATGCCAACAGAGGCACAGGGGATTTCCTGTGATTAATAACTGGTTGGAAAAACTTGATAGTTCGAGGCAGAGTCCTTTGTTGGCATTAAACCAATCTGTAAAATGTTTTTGTTTAGTTACCAGTTTAAAAGCTGTACATGTGCTTAGAGAATGTAGATGAGACAATTTTTTAAAATATGAATTAGACAGCCAGTGATTAGTGTCTTATTTATTGTTACTAACATAAATGTCTAGAGAGTGAAGTGTATGCTTTTTTTTTTAAATCACCATTTCAGTGATATATACATGGCAAGATTTTAAAATCTCATCATCCCATTCAATTTAGGCCGAGTCTATATTTAAAAGATTTAGCAGCATAGCTATGTGAATTAGTGTTGTTTACAAAGTAAATAAATAAATGAACCAAAAAAACCCCCAAACAATCCTAAACACACACAACATATCTAGACCAGCAAAAGCCCGATTATACAGGCAGTTATATTAGCAAAAAAGTACTTTTGCTGGTATATCTTATTCTGGATTGGTGAGCAAAATAAGCTCTACCTGCAAATGCACTTTTTTGCTACTTAACACTAAAAGGGGTTTTGCTGGTGTAGCAACATCAACAAAACTTTTAAGTGTAGGTAAGGCCTTACTATATCAAGAATAAAAGAAAAATCTTAGAACACAGCTCAATATTTAACAGAAACAGATTTACCTTCTCCCTAGGAATCCTGTATGCTCCTGTACTTTTCAGTGATGGTATACAACAGACCATATAAAACAGATAGGATGTCTAAGGGAGAATGGAATGTGATCATAATTTGTGAATTATGCAAATTGTGCAATTTGTGAACCTAGAAAGCAAGAAATTGTAGTACAACTGAAAACGGTGAAAAACCTACTAGTTAGATCAGTTGTAGAAATGCCAAATAAACAGAAGGGAAGCAGAAGGACAGTAACCCAAAGAGTTTTGAAGATAAGTGTATGTGTATGTGTTTGTGTTTGGATAAAAAAAAAAAAAGAAACCAGACACTCTGATTAGAAAGCAAATGTTCCCTGGAGAAGAAGAAGAGTTACTTGTTGCTCTAGGAGTTAAAATATGCACATAGCACAATGGAGCACTGAACCTACTTGGGGCCTCTAGATGCTACCATAGTATAAATATGAAACAGTCAAATAATTCTAATAATTACTATTCATTAGCACTGACATTGCTCTTGGAAAATTTTAATTTGTGTATAATAAAAACCTTTTTGCTAAACAAACTAGAAGATATTCAAGAACTTTGAAATAGCTAAATCCTGGATCTATTTCTTCCTCAGAAGCAGGTCTATAAACATTATAATTAAAGCAACCTGAGTACAAGAAACTGATTAAGGAAAATAAAATCCAATCCTGAGAAACAATAAACCTCCAATAGAGGAATAAAAGCATAACAGCATTGGTGTAGTGCAATATATGATCACAATACATGATAATAATGTAGATTATACTAACTAGTGTTGTCAAAAATATAGTAACTATAGAGTTTGAGGATTTAGTATTTATTTTAATATTTAACATTTGTCTGAGAAATGTACTTTAGCATGCATTACTTGTGAACATTTATGTAAGTTACCTGTCATCAAGTACAGTTATAAGTTCTCCGGCTTTAAATGTTAATTCATTATCTTCAGCAGCTTCAAAATCATAGATTGCGCGAACCTTTCGGCCCTCATGTTTGTGATTCGTTAAGAGACTTGACGTGCTCGGATACAAACTGGAAAGTGTTGTTTGCTGTGGCCTTTGTTCTTTTAAGGACAATTCAATGGCTACAAAAAGTAAATAATTTCCTTTAAAATTCACAGATACAAAAAGGGGCAGATGTAACAATTTGTAAATTTTACTCTATGCTAGTTTTGTAGTATAACTCTGTATTTGTCGCACAATACACAATTTCTTCGCTTTGTTTAGAAATAACTACATTTAGCAAAAATACTAACTTTCATCATCTTAAAGCTAATGGGCAAAATCTTGCTCAAGGTGAAGTCAATGAGAACTTTACTATAGCATTCAATGGGAACAGAATCAGTACTTAATACTTAAACATAAAGGCCTCGGTCCAAAGAAGTCAGGGGGAGTTTTTCCCATAGGTTTATGTACCTGTGGGTTTGATCCAAACATTTGCAACTCAATGAATATTTTTCTTTGGACACATGCAAATTTAATTTAAATTCTTACTAAATGCTGCTTGAAGTGTTAAAAAATAAAAAAAATAAAAGTGGATTTTTTAAAATAGCAATAAACAGTTTATGGTTACAAGTTACATTTGGTAATACAAAAATCCTTGAAGCTGTCATCGGTCAAAGGCCAGAAATGTCCACCAACTACTAGTGCAAAAACTTTATACATATAATGAATACAAAGAATCTATATATCCATTGCTAACCTGCTTAGTCATATAGCAGGTTTCTACACTGCAACATAAGCAAAGGCTTAAATTCAGGTTCAAGCCTAACCCCCCTTCTATCTTCACTGAAATTATGCTAACCCAGGGCTCAGACTCAGGGTTCCAGCCCAAGTGAAGATGGGACCCTCAGAGTTTGAACCCTATTGCTTATGAAACCAATCACAAAGAAGGCTGTGGAACAGAATTAACAGCAAATTCTAGGTCCCAACTCGGAACAGATTTTTCATCCTCCCCCAACCCGAGGAACATCCCACTGCCAGCCTGCAGAAAAGGTGGTGAAGACCGAAGCCTCCCCAGAGCCTGTTAAGTTTCTGACTCCAAGTAAAAGTTTATTACTACAATAATGGAAGGGATTTCCGCTCTGTGAACCAATGCACAAGTTATGAGAAGCCCTGGCTGGCAGCATGTATCTACTAATGGCAGATTGTTTCAGAGCACTTTGAAATCCCCTTCCCTCCCTCCACTCCCCCGCCCACCATCACACAGAGTTCAAGATGGGAATCGGGAATTGAAAACAGTAAAAAAAAACTGCTTTAAACGGTTTTTTAACTGTAAAGTCACAGATGTTTGCCAGGGTCATTCATGTTTTCCTTTCAGTAGTAAGAGCTTGAAATTTGCCACTCTGTAATCACTGAACCATCTATGGAGCCACCTGGAAACAGTGAACTGCATGTGTGTTTTTCAGAAACTGTCTTCTATTTCCAAATCTAATCCATTTCAGTTAGAGATAGTCCATGCTGTCTGTGGGTCACAAAATTATTTCTCCCAAGTACAAGTAGGATGACATTTTTTGTCCAGAACTGTGCCGGGGATGGGGAAGAGGAAGGCTGTAGAGGTCTGCATGCAGCAACAACAGGGTAAGCTATGTGTGAACTAATGCTGCATCCTGTTAATTCTCTCATGGATTCTGACCCAATCCTGATTATTGATAGCTGCAAACCTTTCCTGAAGCAGGAACTCTCAATATGCAGTTACATTGCAGGAAAGGGCATATTTCCAAGGGCCACCTCAGTAGCTGACTAGCCCACTCCACTCACAGATGTGCTGTTCAGTCACTATACATTTTAATACTTCTGCTGCATACACTGCAGGTTTCCCACCAACTGCTTGGAATAATATCTTCCTTTAGCAATAGGGCACCACCATAAGAAAAGTTATGTCCTTCAACATGGAACACAGGAAAAGAAAGGAAAAGGAGAATGTGGGGACAGGGAACATGTAATGGTAGAGGGTCTGTGCTGGGTTTGCATGGTTTCTGGCACTTTAAAAAAAAAAAGTTCTTCTGGTCTTTGTTTTGGGTTGTTGAAATGTCAGCTGGCCTGCTGAGCAACTGGTGACTGTTGTACTGTTTTAATACATGTTTACAAATAAAGCCTTTTATGTCATCAAGAAATTTTATTGCTATCACTGCGTCACATGATACAATCACGATTTGAGATGATAAAGATAAAAAAAAACATTCAGGAGCAATTATATATTAGTAAGCACACACTATTCTTCTATTTAGGCAGGTACAGCAATTCACATTACAATAAATTTCATATATAAACCCATGCTGCCCCCCTTCAATTCATCATGTCTTTCATAATTATAATGCATAACAACCAAGCCAAAACCCCTCCCAAGAACTGAACTGAACCCCCCCACTCCCACAAAAATTAGCCATTTTCCCCCATAAACATATTCGTACAGGTACTATTCCCCCTACTCCACTGAGCCATGCAAGTCCATAATGTGACAATACAAAGCATCCCTGACTTCTATTGTCCAGGTGTGACCAGCTCCCGCAGAGGTGGTGGCACTTCTTGGCTGAAGGCACCAATTCAGTGGCCTCATGCTGTCATAGGTCCATTCAGAGGGAAATAGCTCACCTCTGGCTTCACAAACATTGTGAAGGGCACCGCAAGCCACAATCATGCTGACAGCATTGATGACACTGGCATCCAAACAGGTTTATCAAAATCTCTAACAGAATTTCAATCTGCCAAAAGCACATTCAACCACCATTCTGCACCTGCTGAGAGTATAATTAAATCTTCTTTTGCCAGGGCCTCTGAAATCACAAGAGTTTAATAAGCCAAGGCAAAAGGGGACACGTGGGGTCCTTCAGGAAAACGGTGGGGACAGTAACTCCGCTTATGTTAATGTCATTTGGTGGGAATAGCATCACAGTCTGTCCATGAATGTAGACTCCCAAGTAGTGAAAAACTCTGGCATTGTGACCTTTTCCAGTACAGCCCATGTTGACATTGATAAATTGACCTCTGTGGTACGTGAGGGCCTACATAATTATTGAGTAGCACTCTTTATGATTTATGTACTCATGTGCTCCTTGAGGAGGACAAACTATGGCACATGAGTCCCATCAATTGCCCCAGAGCAGTTAGGAAATCCCATTCTCTCAAAGACAGCAATTACCTCCGGAATATCTTTAATGCCTGCCACCCTGGAGTAAACCACATGCCTGATTGCCTCAGAAATCTCTACCACCCTTTACCAACAGTCGACTTTCCAACACCAAATTTATTGTTAACCGACCTATAGCAATCTGGGGTAGTCAGCTTCCAGACTGTCATAGCAACCCGCTTCCGGACTGGAAGGGCGATCTCAGTTATTTCTCTTTAGGCTGGAGGGTCGGGGTAATCTTCTCACCAAGCTCCAAAATGCAGATTTCTTCATGTGAAAGTTTTGGACCCACTGCTGGTCATCACAGGTCTGCATGACAATGTGATCCCACCAAACTTTGCTTGAGGCCCAGTCTATATAGGGGGCACCAGTGGCTATGCCAATTCTATGGAGCAGCATTTGCCAGTGCAAGTCTGCCATGTCAGTGTACTCCTCCTCTGCTGCCGCCTCCTCGTCATCCTCCTTTAGTGGGACAGAAAATGCTGCCAAAACGTCCACTAGTGCTCTGCCAGTTTCCTGATACAGGAGTGAAAGTGAAAGCAAGAGAAGTTCTTCAAAAGGTGCTGGTTCCATGTTGCTGACACTGGGAATGCACAGATAAAAAAGGCTGCTCGGCAGGCTGTGTTGGCAAGCTGTTCAAACTTCCTGTAATGTGCTGGATGGGCACGAAAGTTTTCCCTCAGCACATAATGGTCAAACGGCTAGAACAGCCATATTCCAGAAGGAAGCTAGGGACTCTGGGATATGGTTGGTTTGTCTGTGTGCTGCAATGTGGACACCAGAGCCCCAGGTTTGAGCTTGGGTCAGAAAAGTCTTGGCATAGGGTTAAGAAACAGTATAGATGCTCAAGCACAGGTTCTCTAACACAGGTCTGCTGACTCCAGTTCCACTAACCCTGGGCTTACAATGCAGTGTAGATATACCCATAGTGACTTGTCAATAGACCCTGCTACAGCAGGGGTGCGTAAACTATGGCCCGGGGGCCGCATCCGTCCCTTCAAACATTTTAACCTGGCCCTCGAACTCCCGCCAGGTAGCAGGGTCCGGGGCTTGTGCCACTCTGTGCGTTCCACAGCTCCGTGTGGCTCCTGGAAGCCACGGCATGTCCCCCCACTGGCTCCTACACATAGGGGCAGCCAGGGGGCTCCGGATGCTGCCCCTGCCCCAAGTGCCGCCCCCACAGCTCCCATTGGCTGGGTAGTGCAAGCAAAAAATTTAAGCCAGCTTTGGACACCACTTGCACTGTGTGCATTGCTGATCCCATCAAGTTTTGATACTCCAGACAACTAAGGTGCCTCATCTACCCCCAAATGAGGGAGAAAACCAAGTAAAGGATTTCCACTAATTCTTTCAAAGTGAAGCTCTCCTTGAGATCACATTTAACTAGCAGGCTATTACAATGTCGCTTCACTTTTCACTTCACTAATTCAAAAAGCAGAGAATGATTTTTTTTAATACCTATTAGTAAAAAGGAGAAAATGACTTTTAATACCTATAAGTAAAACAAAGTGTTTTTTTAATCTTTTCCGTGTTTTTTAAATATTTAAAATGGAAATAATCATAACTATGTTTACATAATCATAAACATAATCAGTCCATAAATATACTATTACACGCAGGAAAGGAGGCAAAACAAAACCGACCCTTAAGCAATATGTATTTAGTAGATATTAACAACTATATCATAAAGCATATAGATCAGAAAATAAATATACTCACCTTTTGCTAAATCTTCCTCTTCCTTTTTGTTAGCTGCCGTACCAGGATCTTTGGCTACTAGAGCTGGGCTTGCCTTTGCTTGTTCTGCAGCCTAGCCAACAGCAAAAAAGTGAAAGTTAATTACAATGGACTTTATGGCAGTGCATTAAAAACACACTGTTTTGTTCTATCATTGTCTCAACCAAATTTCATGAGGCCATTTATTTTAAAATCCAATGTAAATCACAGCATGCATTCTTTAAAGGAGCATTCAATTTTTGTCTAAAACAGAGGAATTCTTAACATTTCTGTAAGTTGGCATTTTGTTTCTAAAAAGCATTATATAACTTTTAAAAGTAAACCTACAAAACTGCAGACATCGAAGATAAACAGAATTTGTATGAAATTCCAATAATTCATTCATCACTTCAAGTCACAAGCTTTTGCATATTATTATACCTGTGAACCAACAGCTGGAAATGTAACTCCTTGTTCCTTAAGATTTTTTATCATGGCAGATATTAGACTAAGCTGTGGGTCGTTCTTGAATTCATCTGTCCATTCCACCATGAGGGCTTTTAGCTTTTCACAGACTTTTGGATGACCCTGAAAATGGCAGAAGTTAAGTTATATAATTTAGGAATCTGCTCCTAATAATTTCTTATTAAATTAAATTTAGTATCTCAAGAAGTACACAAAATAATCAAATTGATGCACTCTTAATTCTCTTCATTTCCTATCCCAACAAAAATGCATACAGAAAAAATTAAGGTGGAGAGTTTCTTCAAATGTTTAACCATTAGTATTGTCTGATAACAAGTTGTCTGATAACAAGAACAGACTGAAGAACCATGACATAATCACAATTGGTAAGGACTCTATCAGCATTAAAATTGTATTTTAAAAACATTTAAATTTTTTTACTGCCATATCCCACATCCAAGAAAAAATTCCACCAACTGAGGGGCGGTGACGGCCCATAGGCAGACCCCCTAGTACATGGGTGCATCAAGTCTGTTTCAACGTTAGACTTTCGGCCCATCAAGTCCCCTGCGGCCGCACAAGAACGGACCAAATGGTAAACGATTGCTATGGCCGACCGTTTGATTAAGTGTTGAAGAAGATGACGACGACTGCCACAGCCTTAGGAACTTATTCAAATCTAGCTGATCTTTCACCAATTTTTCAGTTCTGTGTCAAAATTTTAAGAGATCTAGGCAATGGAGTCCTACTATTTGCTGTTTCACATACACAAGAAAGACATGTACTACTATGAAATGCATCATCTTAAGTATCTAGAGAAAGAGAATCATGCTCATAGCTACTACAGAAGTCTAAATGCATAAATTAAGTCAATTTAATCTTAAAAAAAAAAAAAAAAAAGAGTTCTGATGCATACACTCTGTTCCCACCACAACCTGACAAGCAACCATTTCCTTACCAACCCTCACTCACTATAGCCTCAGCCATCCCTCACATCTCTGTTAAAATTCACATCCCCACACAATTTCCAATCCCCAATAGCACAGATTCCATTCCACCTCTGAGAAAGGTATTTCCCCCATCTAATTCAGATTCTATCATGAAATCCTACAAAGGAACACAATACATTACCTTATTCAATACGTTGCTTACTTCACTAGCAAAATCTCTCGAACACACTTCTAAATGAAAGATTTTACCACAGTTTGATACGCATGCTCCTAGAAGCTGAAGAGAAAAAGAAATTAAAAGACAGCCACGCATTGTACAACATAGATTTGCAGGAGGAAAAAGGAAGGAAGGAAGGAAGGAAAAGGCCACCTACTGTCAGTGCTTGCATAGCAACATGAGGATCCTTATGGTTCACTCTCTTCATAATAGACCGAAGGCAATCCTTAGGCCTAATAATTAAGGGGGAAAATTACAACTTTGAAATATTACAGTCATGAACCACATCTCATTATGAGGGAAGAGGCAGAAGTAAAGCAAGCTTTACATAAATATCAGGAAAATAATTCTTTGTTAGCTTCAAGGACAAAAAACATTTTTGTCCATGATGCAATTTTAAGAACTGTACCTTTAGCAGTTCTACGTTCCCAAACATTTCTATGTGAAAGATTGTTAGATTTCTGAATTAGGAGGAGCTCCCCATTAGGCTAAATTTATTTTATCTTTTGAATTATAGTTTTGTATAGCCCATCTAATTTTATGAAAAAAACTTCCTCTTATTTAAAAAACATTAATAAAGTAACAAACATTCTATGTTGCATATACTGTGTAAAATACGGCAATTTCTGTGAAGACCAATTTCTAGCTAGATCTAATTTGTCTCTGCATATTCAGATTTTCTGTATGAGCAGGAAACACATCAATATCCAATTTTAGTTTGGAATAGCTTTCTTTGTGTACATCTACACAAAACAGAAAGGTGAACAAAAACTGTTATTATAATCTGACGGTAATATATAGCTGGCTACATATTCTATACCTGGGTATTTCATGTTGTAATATGAATGGAATATTGCAGGTCAAATGCAATCTTTCATTTGGGTCCCTTTATGGTTTTTGTCTCAGATAGAAACTACAATTAGAACTATAGGCTAACAGCTATATTTCAGAAAAGAAAAAAATCTTATTAGCCAACCTAAAAACCCTTACAAGTGTTTTGTCTGTTTTTAAAAAAATTAAGAGAATTGCTCAGTGATAGAGTTTCCTGCAGACAGGAGTTCTGCAGAGTTACACACTGCAGGAACGGGCCCTAATTCTTTCCCAAACAGGATCACACATTCATTTGTGCTTGCCTCCTCTCCACCCACTTCATGTACTAGACTCTCTACCACCTCTTATCAAAAGGTGGTACTTTTAAAAAAAAAATACTCTTCCTCACACTCTTGGCAGACTAGACTCATCCGCACCCCACAGGTCCCAATCTGGCCCCTCTTCCTACCACGGCGAACCATATCTGAACAATGTAAGCTTTACACAGTACCCAGGGGCTTCGCATGCATAACGCTGGTATATTAATTATATTATACACATCTTAAAAGAAACACCTTGTATACACTTCTAAAGATAAATCATGTATTGCACATTATTTTTAAGTGAATAGATGTCTGTTTTTGGATTCTCACACAATGTCTTTGTAATTCTTATATGCAAGCACTCAAAACATATGAAAGGATATTCTACTTGTTAGGGATTTTGGAGAAATGAAGATGAAATTTCTATTCACATCTCAGTTGGAGATATTCCAAGCCAAAAGAGATTTAGAAAATGTTCTTTAAAAGTAAAGAACATAATTTGTAACCCCCTTATGTCTTCCATTTGCCCCATACTTCCCAGAAAAATTCTACCCTGGCATGACATCTGATATACCTCTATCCTGATATAACGCGACCCGATATAACACGAATTTGGATATAACGCGGTAAAGCAGTGCTCCGGGGGGGCGGGGCTGCGCACTCCAGCGGATCAAAGCAAGTTCGATATAACGCGGTTTCACCTATAACGTGGTAAGATTTTTTGGCGGCCGAGTACAGCATTATATCGGGATAGAGGTGTATATGAATTTTGAGATGGATTGCCTTGGTTTTTGTGAAACTGGGGAAAGAGGAGCAGTGGTTTGGAATATATACTGTAAATATATTATTGGTATACGAAACTGGTTGCGGTGAAGGTACTAGTACTCCATAATAAACACACCTCCATACTCTCCAAAAAAGTGAAAACAAGATTTGAATGTTAGGGTTCTATTTTATATATCTTTAGCTTTTTTTACACTTATCACTAATACCTACAACAAGCAAAGAAGATACAATTACAACACTGTGAAATTTCAGATTTAAATAGCTGAAATCATGAAATTTATTATTTTAAAAATCCTACAACTGTGAAATTGACCAAAATGGACCATGAATTTGGGAGGGCTTTAATAATAAAATACAGTAAGTAGAACGCTATTTAAGAACAGCTACAGTATTCATTAATTCTTGTTTAGTAATTTGGGGTAATTTCTGCCAAACAGATTTTAAAACAGTTTAATATGAAACAGTCTATTTCTCCTGCACTTCTAAGAACACTCATCACTCAGTCATTTAAACACATTTTTCATAGTACTTTAATTATCTTCCTCTCAAACATATCCCATTCTAGTCCAACTCCACTCGTATGAAGAAAAGATGTGAATCAGCAACAAACTGCTGAAGAATGGTTACCATATACCTTCCAGGTCTGAGTTTCAAACAGATGAGATATCTGAACACAGACCTTACATTTTAAAGGTTTTACTTGCATTGTAACAGATACCAATAATGTAGAAAGTAAAATTAAGAGAAAATGCTGCAATTCCATTGGAATTTTCAAACATATGCTATGGGCCTGTTATATAACTATATGGGGTTTTATTTGAAAGAATGGGGGTTGGAAAAAGTATCACCCCTACACAAGCAACAAATTTTCTGAACATTCCATTGAACAAATCTGAGCTGTGTTCCCTTAATACCAAATTGCTTTTTTCTTTCTTCTCAAATAAATTTACAGTAGGTTTTTTTCCTCTAACACCTAAAAGAGTTTTACAGTGTGCATTGATATCTGACAACTAAAATGAAACTCTGGTATAAGTTACACTACTGCTTGGCTAAACTATATTTGGCTGTGTCTATGTTTTACATAAACCTCGCTCTCATATGCAGTACTACTAATTATAGAAAAGGCTGCTACATGGTATGGCTATTACTCAGTACAGTCTTCATAAAACAGATTGAGTATATATATAGATAAACAAAAGTCAAACTTTTCTCCCCACAGTTACTGCAATACAAACATACACACACTTCGGAATAAATGTTGTCCATACAATCATTACACATTAATTTGATAAGCTTCAATGTAACTGAGAAAAGGCATAGGTACCTTTTAGTAACAACTGTTATTAACATTAAAGTTAAGATGTATGTAGACCCAAGAAAGTAACATTACAAGGACAAACATTTAGAAGGATGGAAATTAAGAATCTGGTCAGCACTGAAAAATTGTCGTAAGTTTGCCAGCCCAGGTACAAAATCTATTTATCTGAAATTTATACAATTAGGTCCCTGTGTAAATCATAATTTCATGGAGGGCACAGAAATCATGAAGATACCCCAAAACCATGACTATTTTCATTTGTTTTTTTAAAGGAAAAAATGTCTGTAATAAAGTATTTAATATGAAAAATGACCTTTAGCTTACAGTGCTGCACCCATGTGTGGAAGAACAGTGTTATGTATATGCGTGGCAGAGGTGCACGGCAGAAATCTGAAAATGCAATCTAGGTGGGAAACATTGCTCACTGACAACAGCAGAATGATGCATCTAAAAAAGCTAAAACGGCGTCTGCAGCTGATCACACAAAAGCAGTATTTATCAGGGTGTCTTACATAGTGATGTACCTCCTGCAATATTATTGTTGTCATTAAAGAAAAAGAGAGTCTAATACGCATCTTGAATCGCATAGTCACCAAAAGAGAAAGTCAGGAATACAAAGCAGTATGGGCAGCTGCTTTATTTGCTAAGAAACAAAACCTGTGACTTCCTTGTTTCAAAATTGCACCAAAAAACGTGAATCTAACTATAAATATTGATCCACCAGATCAATGTTTACGCAAATATCCCTCTTGAAAAACTGGACAACCTGAGGTAAGGGAATTCTTTGGATGGAATATAGCAAAAGGTGGAGAGATTTCTTCACATTTTAGCTGGATTGATAAATATTTACTTGAAGCTGATGAGTGTCAAAAGCAGGATTATGGAACTCATGAAGAAATCTGGTTATCTATGGTCACAGATGAATCAACTGGTGGCCAAGATGAGTATGTGTCGCATAATATTTGTTTTGCAAGGTCTAAATGGTGAAGACACACCTGACTCGGACCTGTAAGCTGTCTTTGCTGATGTAATTTATCTACAGGCTGTTTGCAATAGCTTGTGCAATGGTACTGTAGTTAAGTATTTGAATACCTTTGGAATGGATTTTGATTATATCAGTGCATTTATATCTGAAAACGCATCCTACATGTCAAAAGCTTACAAGCAAGTGCTTCAGGGCTTACAGCCTAACTCAGGCCAGGTCTACACTCAAAATGTAAGACACACCTGAGCGACATAGTTAAGCCGACCTAACTCCTGGAGTAGACAGCACAGGATTGATGGAAGAATTCTTCTGTCAACTTAGCTACCTAGCTTGGGGAGGTGGATTAACTGATGGGAGAACTTCTTCCATCACTGTATTGAATGTATACACTGAAGCGCTACAGCAATACAGCTGCAACATTTCAAGTGTAGACAAGTGCACAGTTCATCTTGCCTGCAATGCTCATACAACAGACCTTTCTCAAGACATTGGAATGACCAATTTCCCACACGCTGACAAGCTAACGGTAATAGTCAAAAGGCTTCTCAACATTGTCTGAGCAGAAAAGTGCATTTTAAAGTGTAGTCCAAGCTGTGGGTTCCAGTTTTCCTGTAAAACTGCCCCCCTGAACCAGTTAAGATGAGATGGGGAAGCTGGTATGTTGCTATTGAATATCATGCAGTCTACTACTTTTTACTCCAGTTTTGTGGAGGAGGAAAGAAAATTACACCAGACATGGAAGCGTTGAAGAGCTGAAACATCTGCTGGAAAAATCAGAAATTTTACAGATAAAACTGGACTTCATCACAAGACATGGCAAAGAGCTTGTTGATTTAAAATGCAATTTTTTCCTCAATGTTTAAAAACCTTTTTGACTATTGCTGCTAGCGTATCAGAGTGTGGGAAATTGGTCATCCCAATGTTATTAGCAAGGTCTATTATGTGAGCATTGCAGGTAAGATGAACTGAGCGCTTGCCTACACCTGAAATGCTGCAGTTGCACTGCTGTAGCACATTAGTATAGACCAGAGGTTGGCAACCTTTCAGAAGTGGTGTGCCAAGTCTTCATTTATTCACTCTAATTTAAGGTTTCGCGTGCCAGTAATACATTTTAACGTTTTTAGAAGGTCTCTTTCTATAAGTCTATAATATATAACTAAACTATTGTTGTATGTAAAGTAAATAAAGTTTTTAAAATGTTTAAGAAAGTTCATTTAAAATTAAATTAAAATGCAGAGCCCCCCGGACCAGTGGCCAGGACCCGGGCAGTGTAAGTGCCACTGAAAATCAGCTTGCGTGCCGCCTTCGGCATGCGTGCCATAGATTGCCTACTTCTGGTGTAGACACTCAATACAGCAATGGAAGAGGTTCTCCTGTCACTGTAGTTAATCCACCTCCCCAAGAGGAGGTAGCTAAGTCAACAGAAGAATTCTTCCATCAACCCTGTCTACATCAGGGGTTAGATTGGCTGTAAACCTGTGAAATCCGTGTTCATCAAATGTACAATAAAAGTTGACTTAATTAACACATATTGAGCACTTAAATGTGAGCAACACAGCAGTGACACAGGGATTCAAAACCCATATATTGAAACTTCTATTGAAATTTTAGATAAACTTTCAAATTACTACAATATCAATGAAAGAAAACCGTGTTTAACCCAGCGGGTATACCAGTTCCTTAAAGGTGTAAGGGTGTTTGATCCAATGCAAGTATGTACATTAAGGTTGGATGCTCTTCCACTGGATTCCATACCTAGCTTTAATAGGAGCTTGCAAAAATGAATTACAAGGCTATTGGTTTTATGCAAAGAAATGCAGCAGTACCCTTTCACTGACTGCTTTGTGGAGGTCTGCAGAACCATACTTTCCCAACATTGCAAAACTGGCCAAGTTATATTTTTCTGTTATTCCTAACACTATGGATGCTGAATGAAGCAGCATATTGGAGGGTTCTTGTGCAGACACAATTCATGAAAGAGGAACAAGTGAATTGACTAGTGATACTTAACTATAATTCAAAAATACAAAACAGAAATAAGTGAACATTTAATGGACTGCATATGTTTGTACTTGCTGCTTATTTTAATTATAAGATCGATTAACTTTACTGGTTAAATTCATTCTGTCCTTGAAACTGATTACATTTAGTTATAAAATTTATTCTGTGCATCCTCCTTGAAAGTGATTAACTTTACTGGTTAAATTCATTCCATGCAAATTCCATTAAATTCAATACTTTAACATTTATATTGTTGCAAATTTTCAAATAAATAAATAAAATCATGAATTAAACTGGGCCCTAATTACGATGGATGATAAAACCAAGATTTTTTTATTCTCTTGTAAAAAGCCAAAGCAACAAAAAACTCTTGCCCTGTGCAAACCGTCAAGTAAAATTTTGTAAGACAGATATGAAAAAGTAAATAAATAATCCAGTTCTTCAAACAATCTTCTAAATACATGTGAAAGTGTAAATTAACAGTTATATTCCCCACTTCATTGTTTAAGCATTAACTGCGTTCAAATATTTAAGTAAAGCTCCTCTGGTAAGCTCGGCCACACACACAACTTGATGGTATTTCTCAATCAGTATGTAATGTGATAACTTTTGTATGCCACACCAAATCATTTCCAAAATGTCAGGGAATGTTTTAGGCATCAATGAGCAGAACTCTATGAATTTTCAGGAATATCAGAAAACCAAAAAGGGGAAAAATGAGGGACACAGTGCCCCCTTTCTTTTGTTTAGCAGAGCCACAGCTTCAAGCATCTCTGAAATTGTTTATAGATTCAAAAAACAGTTGATGGCACCTATTACTATCTTCCAGCACAATACCCCAAACTCAGCTCTGCCTATCTTCCCAATAGAGGTAAACGTATTGACACCTGAATGATTGGTCTCCTAGATAGAAAGACGACAAATAATAATGGCGTTTTGTAGATTTAGAGGACCAATGTTCCCAAAACCTCTATGTGCCACTCTAATGCAATTTTCTCCCAGGACAAAGAAGATAGCCCCTCTAAGTCTACTGTAGCTTTGGAAATAGTATGAATATCTATATATGGCACTACATGTATACAGTTTTGTTGAATGCTGTACAGACATACACAAGATGAGAAAATCCCTACTCCAGAGACCTTATAATGTAATAGGAAGAACATGCAACCTTTACTAACATCAGTGTGCATTTACTGACATGATTTACTCATTGGACTGGACTTGGGAAGCAGTAAAAAGGCTCAAGGAGGCCCTGACAAATTCTGGAATCCTTGTAACAGGACTTGTGTCTAGTGGAGTTGACAGGACACTGAGCTTTGAGCAAGGATCAAAGGGTAGTACCATAGTACAGTATGTTGGACTGCAATTCTTATGGAGAACTTTGGTTTATATTATCACTCGTATATTGTACTTTATATTCTCTCAAATAAAAACGACAGACTACTAGTAAGCCTAAGCAAGCCCCTATTTTAAACCAACCTGAAAGCCAGATGTTACCTCACTTCAATGTTACAAAGGTTGAAGTCATAGGCCTGGTTTACACTACAGAGTTATGTCGATATAAGGCAGCTTACACTGACCTTGTGTCTGTGTCTACACTACAGCCTTGTGCCCATCAATGTAAGTGCCCTACTACACCAACATAGTAACTCCACCTCCACAAGAGGCATAGGGCTTATGTCAGTGTAGTTAGGGTGAGGCAGTGTCTGTGCAGATCAGGGGTGGGCAAACTTTTTGGGCCGAGGGCCACATCTGTGTGGGGAAATTGTATGCAGGGCCGGGGCAGAGGGTTGGGTGTGCGAGTGAGTATGGGAGGGGGTGAGGTGTGCAGGAAGAGGCTCAGGGCAGGGGTGCGGACTACAGGAGGGGGCTCAGGGCAGGGGTTGGGGTGCGGGGTGAGGCGGGGGCTCAGGGCAGGCAGTTGGGGTGCACAGGGGTGCAGGGTAAAGCAGGGCTCAGGGCAGGGGGTTCACGTGCAGGAGGGGTACAGGGTGTACGAGGGGGCTCAGGGCAGGGAGTTGGGGTGCAGAAGGGGTGCGAGGTGCAGGCAGGGGGCTTAGGGCAGGGAGTTGGGGGGCAGGAGGAGTTCGGGCTCCGGCCCGGTGCCACTTACCTAAAGCGGCTCCGGGGTGGCAGCGGTGCGCACCAGGACCAGGGCAGGCTCCCTGCATGCCTGCCCTGTCCCCGGCCCTGCGCCGCTCCAGGAAGCGCTGCAGCTCCTGGGGGTGGGGGAGTGGGGGACGGAGGGCTCTACGTGCACTGCCCTTGCCGCGCCTCCAGTTTCCTCCCACGCCTCGAGGTACCTCCCACAAAGCTACCATTGGCCACGGTTCCCCATTCCTGGCCAATGGGAGCTGCGGGGGGCAGTGCCTGGAGTACTTTGCATTTACCAACACTGAATTTCATCTGCCATTGTGTTGCCCAGTCACCCAGTTTTGTGAGATCCTTTTGTAGCTCTTCGTAGTCTGCCTGGGACTTAACTATCTTGAGCAGTTTTGTATCATCTGCAATTTTGCCACCTCATTGTTTACCCCCCTTTCCAGAGCATTTATGAATATGTTATGACTGGTCATAATACAGACCCCTGGACGACACCAATATTTACCTCTCTTCATTCTGAAAACTGACCATTTATTCCTACCCTTTGTTTCCTATATTTTAACCAGTTACCAATCCATGCGAGGACCTTTCCTCTTATCCTATGACAGCTTACTTTGGTTAAGAGCCTTTGGTGAGGGACCTTGTCAAAGGCTTTCTGAAAATCTAAGTACACTATATCCACTGGATCACCCTTGACCACATGCTTGTTGACCTCCTCAATGAATTCTAGTAGATTGGTGAGGCATGATTTCTCTTCACAAAAACCAACTCAGATTAGGATCTGGCTTTTCATCTTGAGAGTAGATCATCAAATCTCCTGTTCTCTCACACTTAAAGTAACTTCTGTATGCCCAAATTCAAGTCCTAGAATCAAGGCCCCAGATTTTTAAATAGTGTGTGAAAATAAATATCCCTCCTTTGCTTCCTATAGCAAGTACATTCTAAACCAAGTTAATTAAACTACTAAGGACAAGTCAATGTCTGAACTCAAAATTGTCATCATCTCTCCCCCTCACCATCAATATAATGAACAGTGATCTAAAAGGATAAAAATGAAAGATTCATAGTTTAAAAGCAAAACCTCACAGTTCATAACACTTACCCTGTGCGCGACTGTCCAACTTTATCACAAATATCTAAGATGAGGCCCCAGTCCTCTGCAGTATTCATCTCACTGGTTGCTTTCTCTGGTTTAAAAAAAAAAAGGAGTAAGTAGACCAGAATAAACTACTTGTTCATATATATGTGAAAGTTTAACATAGAACTCCCAAGATTTAATGCTGTAAGATTTCTGTTAAATGTCAGTGTTTGATGTCACCCTGCTTTTAATTAATTTATTGAAGTAGTTCTTACAAATTTGCATTTTACACACATGTATTTTTTACTGTTGTATCAAACATTAAAATATTCAAACATTCACTTGGTGCCCTAATATTTGAATTAATAAGCAAATGAGCATTTCACTTTTTCTATTTGCATTTCAAACAACAGATACTCAGAATTATTTTTATATTCCAAGAAATATATCAGCTTTCAAGAAAATTTTGTGAACTCTTAGTTCTGGGTCTGCAAATGAATTCCAAAGGCTACCACTTCCCAGGACATTAGTATACTGTCTTGCCACATCAATATACCCTTGTGCCTCAGCAATTCCAGCCACAACATTGTCTAACTTTCTCTTACTGACTAACACCTGTCAGGAATGGTCTAGATCAGTGGTTCTCAAAGCCGGTCCGCTGCTTGTTCAGGGAAGACCCTGGTGGGCCGGGACGGTTTGTTTAGCTGCCGCATCCGCAGGTGCGGCCGATCGCGGCTCCCACTGGCCGCGGTTCGCCGCTCCAGGCCAATGGGGGCTGCGGGAAGCAGCACAGGCTGAGGGTTGTGCTGGCCACCCTTCCCCCATGAGTGCAGGGGACTGGACTAGATGACCTCTCGAGGTCCCTTCCAGTCCTATGATTCTAATATGCTGCTGTCTCTTGTGCTTGCCTTATACTTGTTGGTAAATATAGTTTTGAGCAGTTTCACCACCTGTAGGTTGTGATCCCCATTAGACTGCAATGGAGCCTCAATGGGTTCAAGAATAGGTTAAAAAGAGAAAAGTCACCCCAACTTTTAGCTCCCCAACCTCAGCTCTGCCCTCGCTGATTTCTTTAGTGGCCTCTTTCCAGCCACAGAAGTCTGCTAATCCCATGATAGCCAGGCAGAAGCCAAAGAGCTCAGCCTTCTCTTTCCTCCCAGTTTATCCATCTCTCTGATTAGGCCACACCAACAAATCTATCCCTTGCAGCAGAGAGAAATAACAAAGAGGCTGAGCCATCAGGAAGCAGATTCAGCTGCCAGACAAGCAGGGGCAACAAATCAACATCTCCCCCCCACAGCTGGTCATGTTCTGGGATGGGCAGCAGATGGATAACGACACCATAAGGGAAAAACAAGGAAACTGAGTTTTTCCCTCTAATTCTGAATTGAGGAATCTATTTGAATCCTGAGGGAATTTATGTCACCACTGGGTAGCACTAAAAAAAAACCTAGCTTGCTGTCAGGGAAGACACAGTTTCCATAATTCTGTGAACAGAAGAGTAGACCAGGAGGGGGTTTCTTGGCTCCCCATTCCTGGCCCTACCTCATCCAACTTTATTTCTGGGCTTTTAATTTAATAGCTGCCTCACCAAATAATCCCAGGTCCCAGGGAGGCTTTCTAGATAATTTTCTGAAGGGAAGCAAAGTTCGCCAGGCAGCTAAGTTTTTCTGGGAAAGACTCATAAATCCATTCTAGCAATTCAGTGGATACAGAGAAGAAAGACTGTGTCAGTGAAACCTCCTATCTCCCAGAAGTCATGAGGAATATCCATCTTTGAGCCCAAAGCTGTGGGCCTAAATTCCTGCAAGTGCGTTTCTCTGTCCTGCATGCAAGCTGAGCAGGCCAGTTATTGTCTCACTCTGATAGAGTAGCAAAAGTTTCTTAGAGGAAAAAACTAACACACTCAAATAAAGCTCTACTGCAAGAAATACAACTGAGGGTCCCCTCACCACCCAGGGTGGATAAAAATCAGAGTTCAAAAAAAAAAATCCGATTTTTTTTATAACAGGCTTTTTGAGGAAGCCTATCTAAAGATAGTTTTAATTAAGATACATTATAGTTCAAAGATCTCTCATTATGGAACAGGGATTATAAATGCGAATTCTATAGTATGAGACAATATATTCCCATGTAATGTTTAAGAAAAGTTTTGTAAAGGAGTTCCAATAGTTCATGGATTAGGGACCCAATCTTACAGGGTTCCACAGGCTTCTGTATAGATTATTTAGGTTAATCTTTCTATCTACCCAATGGGACTCAGTTCTCAGTCTAGCAGATACCATCAGAGATGCTTAGTTTTTCCATTCTCAAACTGTGGATTTGTGTCTCCAGAGATAACATGCTTGTTAACAGCAAAAATGTTTTTAAATAAAAAAATAATATAGAGAGGTGAGAAATAACAGACCTCAACCCTATTGTCCCTCTGCAAATTTGTGTACACAGAGACAATCCCTTACCTCTCTCTGAAAGTGCATAGTTTCAAAAAGTTCAATGAATAGAAGATTGTTGGGGGTGGAAGAGATCTGAACAAGGAGAAGAAGTCTGGAGATAAATGTGAGAAGGGAGGGACAGGCAGTAGAAACAGAAGTGAAACTGTTTGAGCAGCATATTCCAGAAGTCTTGAGGCCTTCATTGATTTGAGATCTACCATACCATTCCCTCACTAGAAGGGAAAACCTATAATGGCAGCAGGCCATAAAAGAGACCAGTTTGGGAATATTTTAATGAAGTTCCTCTACCTCTGGGTAAGATAGGCATGTGTGCAAAATGCAAACAGTGCAACAAAGAAATGCAAGGCCTGGTTGCCCAAATGAAACATCATCATGAGAAGTGTTCCTTCTCAGGAGAAAGCTGCGTTGAAGTCAAAGATGATGAAAGGAACATGTCTGAACATGCAGGATCTTCAGGTTGGTAAACTTTTTTATTTCATACTTCTTTCTTAAGGACTGCCTGTCTTCCTTCTCGACTATTCTTGAATTCTCATGTTTGAGCAAAAAATATAGTAGTTACTCTATGGTACTATAATTTTAGATGCAATTGTGATAAAAAATAAATAGCTGAAGTAGGCAGATCTTCCTTTTACAATTTCACCTTTAAAGTAGTAATGAGTGTCAGTGAATGCAATGTGTAATACTTAATGAGCAGTATGGTAATAATAATTAAATAACTGCATTGACTTATTTTGTTTAGGAGAATTCATCCTCAACATACAGGATTCTGAAGACTATACACCTTCAAGATCACCATCATTTTCTACAGTTTAAGAGTTATCTGCCAATGATAGTGTTTCAGTCATACCATGTATGTCACATAGCCACAGTATATCACTTGTAGCAAAAAACAACCAAACCAAAAACAAAACAAAAAAAACAAACAACCCTCCATTATCCAAAAACAACCATAGATAAGTTTGTGATAAGAACCAGCAGATTACAAAAAGAGGTAATTGATGAAAAAATTGCCCGGTTTGTTTATGCAATAACTCTCCTTTCCGTATGATTGAGAACCCACGCTTCATTAACATGGTTCAGTCATTAAGACCAGGATACAGTCCACCCAACAGAGCAGATGTCGCAGACAAATTGCAGAATAAAGTGTATGAAAGAGAAATTGAGCAGTGAGCAAAAGGTCTAGAGGGTAAAATTGTTAACCTGAGTCTTGATGGGTGGACGAGCAATGTCCACAATGATCCTGTTTTATGTGCTTGTGTGACAACAGAAGAAGGGAATGTCTTCCTTACAGAAACAATTGATATATCAACAAATGCACACAAAGCAGAATACTTAAAAGAAGTAGCAGTAAAAGCTATAACAAACTGAAAAACAATTCAAATGTCTAGTACGCAGCTTGGTCACAGACAATGCTGCGAATGTATCCAAGATGAGAAGAAATTTAGAAGAGAGTGAAGAGAGTCCGAAGCTAATAATATACAGTTGCAGTGCTCATTTGATGCACCTCCTAGCCAAAGACTTCAGTGTTCCAGAAATAAAGGCTAATGTTGTTAAAATTGCAAAATACTTCTGTAACAACCACTTTGCAGCAGCTGTTCTGAAAAAAGTGGGAGGAACCAAGTTAACTCTCCCACAAGACATGCGATGGAAATCAGTAGTGGACTGTTTTGAGCACTATATCAAGAATTGGCCTAATCTGATGAGAGTTTGTGAACAAAATCGCGAAAAAAACTAGATGGCACTGTCACAGCCAAAGTTCTCAACATTGGGCTTAAGAGAAATGTTGAACACATGCTGAGTACCCTGAAGCCTATTTCTGTAGCCTTGAACAAAATGCAGGGAAATAGCTGTTTTATTGCTGACTCTGTTGAAATTTGGAAGAAACTGAGTGAGATCTTAAAAAATGAAATATGCAATGACAGAGTTAAATTACAAGCATTAAAAAAATGAATGGGACAAGCCCTATCTCCAGCTCATTTTCTTGCAAATCTTCTCAATACCCAGTACCAGGGTCAAACCTTCACTGCTGAAAAAGAGGAGTCGGCTATGACATGCACATCCAGCAATCAATCCCTCTATAATACCAACTATAATAAACTTCAGAGCTAAGGGTGAACCATTCAAGAAATATATGTTTGCTGATGATGTTTTAAAGAAAGTCAAACCAGTGAACTGGTGGAAGTCATTTAAGCACTTGGATTCAGAGACTGTTGAAGTGATAATCTCACTTTTAACAGTAGTAGATTCTGCCGGTGTAGAAAGAATATTTTCTTCCTTTGGACTAATTCATTTCAAATTGAGAAATTGTTTGAGACCTGAAAAAGCAGGAAAGCTTGTTTTTCTTTTCCAGATTATGAACAGGAAAATGAAGGTGAATACAACTGAGTTAGCTGCAGAAGCCAATAAGTTTCTGGTGCTGACCTGGCTGACAAAGTCAATTTAATTTTTGTGGGTTTTTTTAATATTTCATTTTAACTATTTTTGTTAAAAACAATTTTAACAAAAACAAACTTGATTTTAAAAAACGTGAATGTTTAACTAAATTCAAAAATTCAAATGCTTGTTTTGTTAAAATATTATATGTTTGCAGTTGAAGAAAAAAATCCAGAATACATAACATTGTTGTTTTAGTTAAATAAAACAATTTAAATGTCTG